ATGATTCAGCAAAAGCTAGAAATGAGTTGGCATTAATAGTGAGGAGAGATGTAGCAAAAGCAGTTAACAAAGAATATGATGCAAGGTCTAACCAAACCACATCAATAAGACTTTAGGAATAACCCATCAATATAACCATAATCCAAGTTTGTATTCAAACTGCAGAGGCAGAAGAGGAAAAGAGATTCTACATTGGAGCGCAGGAAGAAACTGAGCACATACCAGAACAGGTCATGTTGGTAATTATAGGTGATAGAAACACAAAAGTAGGAAACAGAGCAGAACCAGATATTGATAGAAAAATTGGCCTTGGGATCAGGAAATTAAGCTGGACAGCAACTGATTGAATTTGGAGAAGCCAACAGTTTATTTAACACAAACACAGTGGGGAAGCAGACGGGTGGCCCTGGGCCGCCCTGGGAAGCTGCACCGCGGGGCCGAGGTATCCCCACACCTTGGCCCCATGGTACAGCTTTGCCGCCCCTGGAAGGAGCACCAAAATAGCGCTCCTTCCACAAGTTGCCGAAGGTGCACCGCAAAAGGCTGGCAGCGCACCTTTGGCGACTCTTCCACTGCAGCGTTTGCAGACGCTGCAGCGGGAAGGCATCGTCGGAGCGCCAGCCATGTGGAGGGGCCGGTGCTCTGATGATGCCTTCAGGAAGGGGTTGGGGCGCCCACCATGCAGCTGCCCCTCCCCTTCCATTGCCCCCAAAACAGCCCGTTGCACCGTCTGCTTTCCCCTATAGTCTTCAGTCTACCAAAATAGTGGACTGAGGCCAGAGACATTGTTAGGCAGAAATGCAAAAAAGACAATATTTGCAGGGACAAAGAAAGAGAAGCCATATTGGATGATAGATGAAAGAAGTTCAGTTAAACAGTTAAGGACAGAACAGATCTCTGCTGAGTAATATCTTCTCATGATTACTCATGTCCAAAGTATGATGATCACAGTTTAGCCATCTTAGCTTCCCCAGAGAGTTCAGACTTGATTTGTTTGAGGACACATATATTTGTCTTTTTGGCAGTCCATGGTATCTGCAGAACCCCAGCATCATATCTCAAATGAGATGATTCCCTTATCAGTTTTTTTTTTTCACTGTCAAGATTTCACAACCATGAAGGAATTTGGAATACAATGGCAAGGACAATCCTGACTTTGGTATTCAACAACATAACTTTACATTTGAGGATTTGTTTCTTCATAGATGCTTTTCCAAATCTTAGTCTTCATTGGATTCCCTGACTGCAGTCTCTTGGCTTTGCACATGGTTTTCAATATTTTCTATAGTTCAGTTGTTTGCAGGTATTTGTAAAGGTAATAACTGCCATGAAATTGGTGATAAAAGCAAAATATTAGTCACTTTAAAAAAATTTGTTACCACCAGGAATATCATCTTCTGTTTTGCTAGAGGGATGGCTCTTAACTCTGCGCTCAAAATGCCACTTTTAATTTAAAAAAAGGAGGAGGAGGAAAAGTTTGAAAATCCATTTTAAGATTTCTATTGTGGTGAACTGCCCCCGGCCCTATGAACCTGGAAGCTTTCAGTGTGAAGAAAATAAATGTAGTTTCCTTTAAGTGCATGGCTAGAATTCTGAGTCATTTATTGTTTATACATTATTTTTTTTCCAAAAGAGCTATTTTTCTCTTTGCAATAATAGCAGTTCTGACATTAACCTGAGGCATGCACAGAAATTGTCAGCCAAATTACTTTAACTCCAAAGGACTGAATGATACCTGGGATTGGAGAATAACAGTAATTTTGTGGGACAATTCGCAATCCTCATAATGCCAAGACTACATATAGAACTATTCAACAGCACACATTTAGTGACTGATTCCTGTATTATTTGTAGCAGACTTGTGAGGTCGCTCTCAAAGGCTAAGGCAATGGGTTTTTAGCTGTATTCTGAAGACCCATGATGAAAAGGGATCTTAAATTTGAGGCCAGCTATATATAATAGCATGAGCTTTTGTTGACTAGGGCCCGAAACACATGGGCCAAATGATGTGGCTTCCGGCTGTGTTCAGGGCATAGCTTTCAGATGATGCATGATCTGAACATGGCTGGAAGCCACACTGATATTGCACCATCCAGGAAGAACCAGGTCAAGGAGGAGCAAATAGGATCTGCTGCTTCTCGTGGCCCAATTCAGGACCATGATGGTGGCCCAGATTGGGGCTGGGCATGTGAGGTTGCCATGGTCCTGGTGTGAATGGCCCCGGAGCAGCCAAACACCACTCTTTCAAGCCCA